GAATATTTTGTGTTTAAAAATCTAAAACTTTTTTTTGAAAAGTCTTAAATTTGCGTGTCCTGGTCAGATGGTGAAATAATTTGATGATCATTTTTGGAAAAAGAAATTCACAATTTTATCTTCCCTGGATGTTTCTCATCAAATAAGGGCATTTTGAAAAATTTCTTAGTAAACTTTTTTTTCGGAATTTTTTTTTAACAGTTCTAAATTTGCGGGTCCTATTCAGATGGTTAAAAACTTTGATGATCATTTTTGGAAAAAATAAATCAATATTGTATCTTTTCTGCATGTTTCTCATCAAATGGGAGCATTTAAAAAATTCTTAGTAAAAAATGTTTTTGGGAATTTATTTGAAAAATAATTTTGCATGTCATTTTTTTGAAATTTTTTTTGTTAAATATTTTTTGTTGAAAAATGTTTCAAAAGAAGTTTTGAAAAACATTTAGAAAACATTTTTTGAATTTTATCTTTCATGCATGTTTGTCATAAAAATATGGTACTTTGAAAAAATGTTTAGAAATTATTTTTTTTAAATGTGAAAATTTTTCTTTCTTTAAAAAATGTAATTATTTTGAAAAAATTTCAGAATGTTTTTTGGGAATATTTCTGCAAAACCTTAACTTTTGGTGAGATGTTGACAATTTTTGATGACTTTTTTCCAAAAATACAATTTTGAGATTATTTAGATTCAAAAGTCTTCAAACATAAAGATTTCTCAAGTCCTATGTCCTATTTTATGGTTAATATTAAAAAAAAATAAATAGAATTTTGGGGTATGTCAACTTTTGATCACAGTAACATACCGTAGTAATAGTTCCTGAAAAAAAATCTCTCTCAAAAATGAATAAAAATGCATCCTTTTAAAATGTATAGCTATGTCCTGTTTTATGGTTAAAATGTAGATTTGCATACGGTTGTGAGTTCGTAAAAAAAAAGAAAAAAAGAAAATTGTTGTCTGGAGGAACGACAGAGATTTAATGTGCTTCCACAAAGTTTAACAAAACGTTGTCAGTGCCAGCACTGCTTGCTAGAATAACATTTACAAAGAAATGTAAAAACCAGGCACACAAGATACAAGCATGTTTCTCTTTCCTAGTAAACGTGTTCTTAAAAAAAATAATAATTTAAATGTATATAAAAGCAAAGTTGAAACATTACCCTACAACACAGCTTTTGCAAATAATTAGGCAGGTGTCTCTGAAAAAGGGAAGTAACAGTCAACGGTTGAGGCTGTTTTCTACACAGACAAACTTTGCCGTTTGTAAATTACAGTAGGTATAGAGCAACTCTTTCTATTTATTACCCCTAAACATTGATAAGGCATGTAGTGACTGCTGTATTTTGGAAGAAAAGGAAATGAAGACCACATGAGAAACGGCTCACAAATCAAAGCCTCCACATATATTGCGAGACTAATCACATTACAGTGTTTTCACCACTGAATAAACATATAAACTTGTGACTTAATGCAAATGTTTATCGACGATGTGAGCTAAGCTTTAAAAACACATGACATAAAGAACATCACACTTAATCACATATCACACATAAAAACATGTCAGACATTAACTTTTAAATAAAGATTTAAAATTAATTGAAAATAAATCAATAACGGAACGTGTTTAAAACAAATTTAAAATTTCATATAGTTTATACATTGAGCTTCGTTACACATAACACTCAATATATATGAGGGCATGAGGAGCTAAAAGCTCGACAGGCCAGTTCTTAACTAGGCTTAGCATGGAGCTGATAAAAGGCTGGTGGTTTACAACAGCACGGCATGACATCTTAAAACTCCATGTGGCCATTTCTATTGAACACCTATCAAAGTGGTGCTATGGCCAGCCCAAAATAACACAGACACCGGCTTAATGTGATCTGTGTGTGAGCTAATCTCAGCCAGATGCTCTGATCTGATACAGGAGCAACACTTCTATCAGCAGATGCACAGTAGCAGCTAAACTGTAGGAGCCCCACGAAGACTTAAAGTTTTGCAACTTCACAGTTGCTTCTTGAGAAGCCCAGATCTACTCCTTTAATTCTGCACAGTCCATACCTCCAGATCTTGGACCATGAAGTCTTCTTGTGTGGCAAGTGGATCATTGTTAAAGGTAGAGCAGGAAAAACTCGCCCCACGATAAAGATTGGCATCCAACCAAAGAGCGAAGCCATCACTGCAGTGAAGGGAAAAGCAGGTCTTTAACCTTAGATAACAGTAACTTAACAGGTAGCAGGTGCAGTGACCGTTTATCACATTATGATATAATAATTGTTTTAACTATCTGTCTGGTTAATATTTTGTGGGTTTTTTTTACAGGAAAAGGACAGGAAAACAATAAACCTTCAAAACTTACCCTCCTCCACCAATTTGCAGAGAGTCCAATTTGCCATTCACAAAGTAGGAGTTCTCTCCACTCCACTTGTAAACCTGTTAGTCCAAAAAAGAGATATTAGGGCCAAATACCAAACCTAAGGGAATTTCACATATCCAAATAAATACTAGATCTATCAAAGATGTGGCATCTGTTAACTTTCTATTCTCACCTGAAACTTGGGGTTGAACCTAAACAGGAAGGTTTCCCCGTTGCCATAGCAGTATTTACTGACTCTAAAAGGGTCTGATGAAAAAGCACCAAAAACCTGAAAACAATAACAACAAGAGTTATTACAGGAACCCTCACAGATAATGGTCTTTTAGTAATCAAGGTATCGTGTACAGAGCCGTAAAACACAAACCTTTTTGTTCATGTCCTTAATGACCAGCAGCACTGGGTTGTCCATATCCGCCATATTCCTGTACAGAGTTTTCAGGCTGCTTCCATGGACAACAGTGCTGTAGACCAACTTCCATGAATTGCCTCGGGTCCTCGCCGGCAAGTTAGCAGCGAGCTGTTAATAGATCAAACACATATCATGATGCATTCAACTATTACTTTACACAACAACAACAACAAAAAACAACAACTTCTTTTGAGAGGAAATGATGATTGGTTGACTGACCTCCTCCAGGTTGTGGTCATTTAACAGATGGCTGTTCTCACTAAGGAGAGGCGGAACATCATCGACTTCCTCCTGGTACTCAGGCTCCTCCACCTCAGAACTGTCAGAACTGCACAGACTCGAGCGTCGTTTGGAGTCCTTGACTCTGATAATCTAGAAGAGAATCAGACAACTGCATATTACGCATTCCAGTCATCACGTGACTTTAATCTGTTGCTCGTTCACCCAGTTCTGACCAAAGGGTCCTAGGAACAAACATACGGACCACGTCAGAATCAGGTTTCATTTTTAAAATGCGGGTTTTTCCACAAAACTCATACATTTTCTTAACTGTAAGGAGCACATAAGTAAGGAATATTTTTTTACATTAAGGGTGATGTATTTACAGAAACGGTTATTTCTGTTTAAAAAATACTCCTATTAGTGAATTTTAAAACATTATTCCGTTAAAAAAAATTTTTACAACAGTGCCTTAATTTTTCACATAGCTTGCATTCTTGATGGTTTCATTTTTTAACAATAGTCTCACGTGCATTAGAATCTAATTTGCATTTTAAGGCATTGCGGCGTGAGTTTTTGAGATCGCAAGGTGTTCCTTAAAAAGAGCAACCACGTGGATCTGTCACTAGGTAACAAGCTGGGCAGGCAAGGACAGATAAACGATGCTTGTAAGACATGCAGTCAAGCTGTAGCTCAGTCCTACCTCCACATACGGCTCCACACAATCAGTTGCAATGTAAAGAACTCGGATATTATCGTAGACCAACTTCATATCTGCTCGTTTACCTGACAGACTGACAACACTGAGGAGCGGGTAACTTAATAAGGAACTTTCGGTCCGTGTGTGTGAAATGCTATTGGTCGAAGACTCAGGACAATGCGCTTTCTGATTGGTTTCTCCTGCTCCTGAAATGGTTTCTTTTTCTCACAAAACGGAAGGTAGTGAGCGGTTACCGGAAGTGACTCAGGAAAAGGATGTCCATATATGTAGAAGCTGGGTTTTCCCAGAACCACACGGGACACGACCCAGGTTTTCTCATGCTCCCAACACGTAAATCCCCGCTTACTGGAAATGGTTTGTTGTTTGGTGGTTTGGTTTAATTTACGTCTTTAATAGGTAGTACTGCAAAGTTTGCATGCAGCATTGTTATAATCTAAACTGAGTTTGCAAAATAAAAGTAATGTGGCTAAATCGATGCTGTTGATTATGTCAATAACAGTTCTGCTCTCCACAATAAAAGTGAACTATTATAAAACCAACAACTACAGCAAGGACAGACTATAATCACACAAAACAAAAAAAGCTAGATTCTTTTTTTTATCTCATTTTATTTTATTTTTCTTAACATGCATTGGTCATAGCGTGGATCTTACCTCCCACTTCTTATTGGTGGCATGGACAGGACGACTAAGGAGCTTGTTGATCACAGCTACTTTGTTCTTCTTCACCACCAAGTACTGCTTAGGATGCTGATCTCTGATGATGTAGCGAGGCTTGCTATGCTTCTTGTTGCCCTTCATGTAAATATCCGGTGACCACTCCACAAAGAATGTGTACAAGTGGTCAACTCTGCATGTACAAAAACAGATTGATCCTACTTTAAAACATATAAACAATACATAATTTATCTTCAAGTGATGTAAAGAACTTCCTCTGGCTAATAATTACATTTGAATGTGCTACTAAAATCCTGAGATCCTGAGATTACACATCACAGCAGATTTTAGAGGATTTCAGTGATGCGGTAAAAACACTGCAAATGCCACACTTCATCTTTTTTCATACCTATAGTATAGAATTGTGTGTACATATGTGACTAGGGACTGAATAATGCAGTAATATATTTAAAGAAGTTGAACTGTAGGAGATGTTTTACTCTATCAAATACTGTTCCTAAATATTTTAATGACTCTGAAGCATTCCTTAGCATGAGTCACAGAGAAATGACACAAGCTGAATGTTTCCTGGATGAACCAATTCTACCTCTAACTTTTCACATTTCATGTAACCTGAAAATCATAGAAAATGCTTAAATTTGTTTTTCAAATATAATGTTCTTTCTGCAAAGAGTGAGATTTCAAATATAATGTTCTTTCTGCAAAGACCTGTATTTACCCAGCAAATACAAGTTGACAAAAGAGTGAGACAAACAAAAGTTTGGCTACTTACATTTAAACATATATGTTCCCTATGTTTAAATGGTAACTGTGTGGGCTACACCACTGCAAACTGTGAATTTACAAAAATGTTTCTGTAGTGTCACTTACTCTCCAACGCTGTATGCAACTCCCATGGCTGCCTTGAAGATGAAGGTGTTGAAACTGTGGAGAGAACTAAGTTGTTTGAAGATTAATTCAAGTCTCAGTGTTTATTCAGCAGGTCTGTGTCTGAGTCTCAGCCATCGGCCACATTTATACCAGAGGATCAATTGCTGAGATAAGCTCCTTTGACCGTAAACCCTCCCTTTCTCTCATCAAAGTTCTGCATGGTCTGCACGTACTAACAAAAGGGTTTCACAATCATGCCTGATGTCCAATGATGGTGACACATTAACCTGACCTGCTCCAGTCCCTGTCCCTACGCTCAGATTTATTTCAGTGTCTGTGTCAAGGTTGTAGCTCGAACATTAACACGACACCCTAGATTTTAGAAAAAGTTCTATTTTATTACGTGTCATCTTTAAAAAAAAAAAAATTAATCATATTTCAACAATGCCAACTCAGCAGTTTCACTGTGTGTTTGGTGAAATTGTTTATATTGCCTGACACTGAAGACATATCATTACATGGTGGTCACATAGAAAGAAAGAACTGTTGATATCATGACCCTACAATGGTCTCCATTAATTTACACCTGAAGCAGACCTTCTCTTTGCAGGCAGCCATATTTTTTCAGTTCACGTATAAGCGTATAGTGCTGTGCTTAGCAAACGGCCAAACAGAGACTTTACAGGTCTTTAAAAGAACTGTGAACCAAGACACTGGATTATACTGACAGTGTGAAAAACTGAGCAGTGTGCGAGGAGGTTCAAGCTCTCAGGGTGCTTACTCTAATCACATATTGTATCTATCAAATTGACACAGCAAATAACAAAGGTTGTTCCCAAAAACTTTAGTCCATAAGAAAGAAGAATCTCTCAGAGAATTAGAGAGTAGTGTTCCTACACTAGTGCCCTTGCTGTTGCATGTAACCATTTCTAATATATATTTTTTTCTGTCTTAGTCACACATGTTTTCGTTTCTTGTCCTGTAACCAGCCCTTTTCTTTAGCTTTGCTCTAAATATGAATAAGGGAACTGTGCTTGGTTTGCATAACCAGCTAAAATCTTGACGCTTGAAAAACTAAAATATGGAACACAAGAAAAAACAAGCTGGAGCCTGAAGCCTGGATTTGTAAAGCTTATGCGATTAAACATCACTTTCAACAATTAAAAACCAAAACTATTCTAGAGTGATTCTCAAACATATATTTCATCTAGAAAATGTTGGGTACTGTATCTGTGGATAGACGTATTGACGTGGACGTTATCTACCTGTGCTAAGACTATCAGGCCTTAATCTTAATAATCTCCTCTAGTTTAGATTAGTTCAAGTGTTCAAGTCTTGTTAACAAGATTTAATCATGGCAGAAGACCTCATTGATGTATTTACTATTCAGAAACGACCAGTGTCCAATTCAACTATATCAAATCTTTCAAAGGTAAAACACACAACTTTGTAACTCATGAGTCCTTCTGCAAATGTATGTCCAGCACAGATATATATATTTATGTATATATATATATTATAAATTAAAATCTGACATGAGGCTACTGACAATGTCCCTCAGGTTAGCTCATGTTCAGATAACAGGTCAAGAGATTACACTGGGGACACTCAGGGGTCAACAGTCAGCAACAGTCAGTGAAATAGAAAGAGATCAATTATAGACAGTGTCCATTCTATCACTCAGACGAGATCGATTGGTGAACACACAGAGCAGCAGATACATTATACATGCATATTACATACCCACAGCAGAAGATGTCCATGCTCCCATCATACTTATGTGCATGCACAGACAAAAGGTCACTGGACTCAATGGAGGTTTCGTAGATAATAACTATAACGACACGTTCAACGACACACTGCAGTGAAAAACAAAAGAACAAGGCAAACCATAAGACCATTAAAGAAACACGTACGTCAAAATGGACATGTTAAAATTAGATCGCGATCATTGAGAGAGCCCAGGTGGGTTTACGTATTTACTTACATAAGTAAGGAGCTGGGACTGGCTCCAGCTCCTCCCTTATGTCTAATACAACTTTATACACCTTTGTCAGAACATACCTGTACTGTAGCTCACATGTAGATTTAAATTATATGATTCAAACTTACGCAACATAATTTTTTGAACTCCTTTATTGATGGCCAAAGCTACAGTAAGCCATTTAATATATAAATCAAGATTCTAAATAAAAAAATATTGAAAGAATTCTCTGTCTCTCTCTTTCATTCTCGCTGATTTTCCTTCTCTCTCAAATCCTCCCTCACATTTTGTGTTTGCCTCACTTTGCCACATACAAACAAACACATACAAAAGAAAAAGGCGTTATTGCGTCACCTCCTCGAATTCCTGTAAATCCTCTCTTACCTTCAGCCCTGATTAAAACAGATGTTGATTAAAAAAAAATAAGAAAAAAAAATCACTGCCAGTGTGCTGTGTTCTCAGCGTTCTCTAATTAAAGCTTCTCAGAAACCCGTTTACCATTGTTTGTGTGTATCAAACAGTAAAAATGACTCTAAACCAGAAGAGTTTTTACTTATGTTTATTGTAAAAAGACATTTTACACAAATATTTGGATTCTCTGAATCACCTTTAACTTGGCTACTGTATTGTTGAGAAAGACTGATTTTTCATTCTTACTGGAGACAACATGTTTACACAGGTCGTAGCTAAACTGAAAGTTAGTTAGTGATGCAGGAAACTTCATTGTTTCTGTTCTGTGGTTATATAAGCTCTTACATCTTACAGCAGCAAAAGACACTTTCCTTTCTGGTGAAAAAACACCTTCATGTTCCTGTGGAAAAAAAGTGGTGAAAAAACACCTTCATGTTCCTGTTCCTGTGGAAAAAAATAATAGTCACTGACATTTTGGTTTTAATGTAGTGGAGGGAAATATATTCTAACTATTGATATGATATGATGTACATCCCAGGGTTTTCATTTTCATATTCTGCATTGAAATTCAGATGACATTGTGGTTAACAAACCTATTTACTTTATTTGTCCATTTTTTCCCATTTAACTGTCATTTAATTATTCATGGGCGTTTACCGTCAGGTCACAGATCCAAAGGCAGGATACATCCTTAGGATTTATTCACATGTGATTATATTTATGTCAGTTCTTTTCAATTGGAGTTTGTGCTCAGAGACTGACTCTAAATCTGACAGGGTCATTCCAAGTAGCATGACCACATGCTGACCCTGCGGGGTCATTGATTTTCAGGCAAAGTTCATAATTGCTAAAAACCACAAATTGTATGCATGCTCATAGGTACTGGAGGTGTGTGTGTGTGTGTTTTCTTTTTCTTGAATTTTGTGCCATTTCTGATATTAAATCAACATTCATTTTTAATGAATCATGATGAAATAAAGATTTGAATTTACCGGCAACGTCTGAGACAGTACATCATAATTAAATCATTGTGTGGGTGTGTTTGTGCAATCACACACACACTGGCAGGTCCTGTCTGCCTAGATCTGTGATTGGGACTGAAGATTCATGTGTGAGCCATCCCACCCGTGGATGTGCATCCATGCATGTGAGTCAGCTGTGTACGTGTCTAAATGATAATGAATCAAAATTGAACATTTGTCAGTCAATTCAGAGAGCATGCACACAGGTCACAAAACAGTTAAAGGTGAAAGTGTATCAGTCCACTGGAGTGTCCAGTTGGATCGGTTTTTCATGATATAAAAAATGTATTCTTACCAAATATTTGACACACACTGTTGTGTGTGTGTGTCAAATATCACAAAGTTTAGTTTTGCCAGTTTTGACAACGCACAGAATTAGACTGGGCAGGACACAATTCACAACTGATTTTGTGCTGTGCACGTGTGTCTGAAAGCATGTGCGCACACGACCCATAATCCTTCTCTGTCTCTTCTTACTCAATACTTTTGTCTTTTCTTTCAGCTAGCTTCTAACCAACGACAAACTGCTCACCGGTCGTTCTCCTCCTGAGACGATTCACATCAAAAACGATGTAATGACAGACAAACGCAACCGTGTCAAGGCAGGTTTAGGCCTGATGAGAGTGTAATAGCTGTCTATCTGCTGTGTCAGTAGGTGTTAATCAGTGACGTTTCACTGTAAGGAACATTTCCATTGACCCACTTTAAGGGGAAATTGTATTTACGCAGTTTCAGAGTGAAAAAGAACCACAAGTGAGTGCTTTTTGATGTTCTGAAGTGAAAGTCAGTCACTTCCTCTGCCATTTTGTTTTAGTCGATTCAATACGTAGTGAAAAACAAACAAAAAAAAGTTATTTCGATGGTAGTATTTGTACACCTTTAAAATTATTCTGTAATTTTTCCAAAACCATCCTTGGATCAGTCTAAGAGCAAATTGACCAACAGTCACTTCTGCACTTTGGACCAGACTCAGCCAGTCAGTGTCAGGTTTATTTCACCCAGTCTGCTGTGGCTGGGCAGTCTTCTATAACGTCTGCAGCTATAAAGTTAAATGGCATATCGCATGCTGTGAAAAGACAGACTGAAATAAAATATTGTCTCAGGCAAACGTTGGTTACGTGATGTTGACGTGATGTCTTTTTGTCACTGGTGACATAGTAACTGAGTAATTGAGGCAGAAATACAACATGATGAGACAGAACATCTCATAATTAACTTTTTTTGTGATGGTTCTGAGAAAAGTATTCATCCACATTAAAGTTTTGATTTGTGGACTCAGTAAACGATTCTGGCCTGATTCCAGTCAGAATGAAAAGTCAGTGAAAGTCACCTACTTCTTAGCTCACATAAAAAAAGGCTTTGACTCAGCCAAAATGGTCGCGAATGTTCTCCGTCACAAAAATGCTTATCGGTCCCTGCCATTTCATTACGTAGAGTATGTTAATTTGTTAAAATGTAACTGAGATGACTGCAGCACTTTCTTTGATTCAGCTAACACTGTATCATTTCCACTATACCAGACATTCCACCCAGAATTATGACACTACAGGAGCACGGGAGAAGAGCAACGTTTAAATTACAGAATCCAGCAGCGGTGAAATGGTTAATAATCTACCAGACTGAAACTTTAGCTGATGTGGCAAAACGTGCTTTGGCTGTACTACTTGAGGCACGTTTTGGGGAAACAGTAGTGTGCCTGCAGAGAATATACTGTTAAAGAGGAACATCAACAGTTTATTACTGTGGTTTGTTTTTTTTTTTCAATGAAATTCATGTTAATTGAGAAATGTAACATGAATTTGAAATCCACATTGCAACCAACATGTGAATGGTTGGGAAAAAACAACAATGTGAAACAATCAAAGATATTATAAAAATAAGCAGCGCTTCGTGACTAATTTCTGGTTGGGAAATTTTAGGATTTAACAAGAGTGATCAGTCTTATAGTTTCATCAGTGCCAAATAAGGATGTTTAATGTTAAAAGATATTTTAACATCCAGTATGTGCCGAAAACCATTGCCATAAGTAATGAAGAATCTCTTATATCAAAAGCAACACAAAGCTGAGGAATGATTCAGTCATCTTTGGTTATTAATAACTTGCATGGCCTACATAAAGTGTGGACACAGACATCAGGGCTGATCAGTTTTGTGTGCCATTCAACACAGCTGCATATACCGTACATAAAAAAAGCTGCAGAAAACACATCACAAGCAAAAGAATGTGACACACATTCAACAGCCAGTGTGACACAAACCATAACAATTGCCCCTGTTGGTCCTTATTCTCTAGAAACCATGTCCAGTCTTTGTTTGCTGGCCCTGTGACAACAACAACAACAACAACAAACGCCTGATCCCATCAAACCATTGCATGCAAATACTGGAAGTTCTCAGTAAGCAAAGAAGGAAAACACACATGATTTTATCTCTATTTAATGCAGGGTGACGTGACCTGCAGCAGTGCCGTTCCAGCGACTGCTCTAGGCTTCAAACTTTTTACAGCTCTCAAACCCTCATGCACACCAATTTGCTGTTCTTCAGTGCCAGAAGTTCACTGTGATCACAGCTCATCAGCTCCGAACCAGGAGTATGAGGATCATCATGTTCTGCACACTCCAACACCATCAGGAAAAGTTTATTTTTTTTATTTATTTTTCTTACTTTTCTAACTCAACAGCTAACAAGTCGATCAAAAAAAGAGGTCCAATATGAACAATATGTTAAAGAATTATTATTACCTATTGTAATAAGTCAGACAGAACTTCAAACTGCCCTTGATTCTGCTCTTCCAATTGTATACCGTAAACGGTGTAAATGTAAGGCATGATACACACACACACACATTTTATGAAGTAAAAGCTACCTGTACACCCAGTACCAAGTGTCACCAACCTTTGAAGGACAAAAAGACTCACAGAACTAAAAGACAATAAAGGAGTTAATATGGGTGTGGCTTTGTAACAAAAGAAGAAGAAGCCACTGTGCAAAGAGTGTCAGTTTGTTGGGATCAGGATTTCTTCTCTCAAATATTCTAAAAATCAACTCCATAAAACATTCAGAATCTATTGCACCTTCACCACATCAACTCCATAAAACATTCAGAATCTACTGCACCTTCACCACAAAGTGGTAGAGTATGTAAAGTAACAGAGTTTAGAGTTACAAATAAGCTCTGGCATATACTGTATATAATCAATTATAAACCGACATTCAGAAAAAAAAACATGTCCATGAAATTCTTGTCAGATTAAGGTCGTGATACTGTACAGAAACTTCACCTTCAGGAGTTTTAAATGCCTTGGTCTAACTGGTGATTGTGTGAACTCTGCTGCTGTTGTGTTTCTAAATCGATCGGCTGCATTTGATACAGTGAACACCAATTATCTCCAGTCTGGTCTTGTTTTGTGTGTGGGCTTAAGGACACTGACCCCAAATGGTTAATAATTATGTGCCAGGAGCGTTCTGCTCAGCTGAAGCGTGGGGTTCTGCAGGGCTCACATTTGGGTCCTTTTTATTTTAACCTTTTATAAGGCACTTTTACCTTTTACTGCTTTGTAGATTTTTTATTAAATGTATATGAATGACTTTTACCTTTTACTGCTTTGTAGATTATGCTATTGTTCACCTGTTCCTGAAAAGCAACACTTGTGCTTTTTTTTTATTAAATGTATATGAATAGAATTTCTATATGAAATTAATTTAGTTGTTTGTTTAATCTAAACTATTGCTTTTTATTTAAGCATTTTAAAGAGCTGGTGACTTAAAAAAAACAAAACAACACATTCTCACCATTGTGAGATAAACCACCTCGCTTTTAATGGTGAAACAGCTGCATCAATGCCTTTCATCACTATGCCAAACAAAGCATATGGTGGTGAAAGGCAAGTCACCACTACACTCTGGAGGAGTTAAAACATGTTCTGTAAAGTAACAACATCACGGTTCTCTGACAGGGTTTTAACAGATTATTTTAGCTAAGTGAATGTAACCTGTTTAAGCTGGTAACAGACCAGAGTACGGTGGAGACGGGACAGTGCAGTTAAGTCTTACGGCTACAAATAGGCTACTCTGAACGTACACTGGAAAACTTTATACATAAGGCGACAGGTTTCGCACATTTCTAAGTATTACTGCAGGACTAAGAAATTACTGCAGGAAAACAATATTAGTTTGAAAATGGTAACAGTGACACTTGTCATAGCTGTGGAGTGAAGCAACAACTGGGACAATACTTGACAGAAAATAAAACAAAGCTGCCCTCTGCTGTTACTTTCTGAGAATTACTGCACTCCTGGGTAAGAATGTGTGGAGAAGCTTGTTTAGTAACTCACTGAGAACTGTGGTGGCAGCAGTGGTTTGATGGTTAAAGTGGTTAAGGAAGCAGACTTGGATTCAGAAGTTTTCAGGTTCGAGTCCACCAGCTGCCAAGTTACCACTGAGGTGCCGTCCCCACACACTGCTCCCCCCGGGGCTCACTTTGGCGATGGGTAAAATACAGAGGTCAAATTCCGTTGTATGCTGTGTCACAATGACAAATAATTTACTTTCTCTTCACCTCAGAAAATCTGCAGAAAATATCAAATTGATCAGCCAGTAGAGAAATAAAATATGCTGATAATATTTAAATGTACCGTACGTCTATCTGTTGTTTTCTATGTGCTGAAGTTGTGTCTCAGTCAGGAGTTATCAAAGACATAAACCAACAAAGCTGCCGTCTCTTGTTACATCTCAGGATGGTGTGATTGAGCCTGTAACTTCACATAAATTTCTAAAATACTTAATTAATGAGTGTCTTTAAAGCTTCGACTTGGATCAAAAACTAAAATGTCTCATGTTACCACTGCACTCAATAGTGTATTGTTACTAGCCACTGCGTGTGTTTCGTTTCTATTGAAACCACTATGACAGTACACAATGTTGAAGGTCAGGGTGTTTGTTTTTCTCTCACTTAATTGATGGTGTGGCATGCACAAATGTGAACAAAACTTAATTAAATTCTTCTCGTCAACATCAACACCTGTTCACCTCTTTCACCTGGCACTTTATGATGCCTGTCGTATCATCTCAGACATGAATGTTAGCAACAAACTTTCTCATCGTTTGCTTTATTCCTTTAACTAAACATCTGGCCGTTGGGGACAGTGGCCTACACACAGATACAAAAACAACTTCATAAACCTCCTGAATATGCAGCAAGAGCTCAAATCTGTCTCCAAAAATCACATCATTTAACAGGCAAATCGTAAAAAATAAAGTGTCCTGACGGACAAACTCAATTATTTCAACAGTATACAAACAAGAACCGCTCAGATAGTTACGCAACTCAAATAATCTTAAATAATAATAAAGTTTATTCCTCAATCACAGAGTTTAGTTTTTATTGCATTTTGAGTTAAAGTTGAGCAATTCTGCCTGAAAATGTATAATATCAATTTAAACAAAGTAAAGAATGTGATAAGAAGAAGGCCTAGGGCAGAAGTGGCCAACCAGTCAAGAGGCTAAGAGCCACAATTTTTACCGTGTTACTGCAAAGAGTCACATGATGAACATGGGAACATGTGAACTGTCCCATCCCTTAAAAAAATTCCACTCTTTTAATACTTTCTGTGTATGACTCCTCCAGAGTCAGATTTACAATTGCAAGAACCGAAAAAGAGTGCAAATTGGGTTTTCCCTAAGTCATTTGCGTAAACACCCATCGGCATGAGATTCACATAACGTAAAAAACACAAACAAAGTTGTGCATGAAACAAACTTGCATGAAACCGGACAACTTGCAAGTTGCATGAAACCGGACAAAGAGCCACATGTGGCTCACGAGCCGCAGGGTTACCCAGCCTGGCCTCGGGTGTCTTGCAGATCTTAAAAATCCTTTAATGTGAATCGGCAGAGTCCTTGGAGTTTCCCAGAGAAGCTACATATCAACATGTGTGTTGTAAATCACATACAAAATGATTTGTGTCAACTGCTCCTACGTCTACTTCTTTAAAATAAATGAACATGCTACACCAGTCAGTTGTTGATGCAAAATGGACAACAAAGTAACCTTCACTGTAGGGCCGACGACTCCTCAGTCAGGGGCAGCGTTTGAGCTCCACCCATGGCTCAACACAATCAACTCTCATGTCATAACATTCTTATCACCACTATGATCTTCTTCCTTCTGGCATATTTTGTCACGCACAATGCTACTGACAAGAGGCATCTATTTTGGGCAACTATCCTCGCTTAACTTTAAATTCACTCCAAAGTGAGATTTCCAGTCTGTACCTTTTGCGGCAGGTAGCAAATTAATCTCTAAGAGAAATGCCGTCATTTTATAATAAAACTAAAATGACAGTGTCTTTGTCTTTTTCACTGAAATAAGGATTTGCATTGGATCTTTCCATAAGATTCACAAACTACTGTATGTCTACCGTATGTCAGTGCACCTCAGTGGCAACCCAGCAGCTGGTGAACTCAAGCCTGAAACCTTGCGGACCCATGTTGGCTTCCCTAACCACAAAAAATAAGATAGAAGATAAAATGCACATTAAGGAATCAATAGCGATACAACACACATCCTCCAGACATATTTTGATCAAAGATGATGATCCTAAAAAACATTATTCACAATAATAATAATAAAAATAGTTTTAAAATGTTTTTAAAAGTCTTATTTGATGATACTTCTGGAGGATTATTCTTCACTGCACAACTGACAATGGCCTCTATTGTGCTTTTTGATTGCATTTGCGTCAGACCAAGAATATTTCAGATATTGTTGTCCTGCCCCAGAAAAATCACTCGTGCCATGAAGAAGCAAAGGAGGATGAATTAGTGATAAATGTTCTTACCGCAACATGCAGCAGTACAGGTCATTCCTGTATGGTCACTTTTTTTGTATGACAGAGACGAATGTATGATTGGCTTGAAAGTTACTGGTTTAAGTTTACGAAAAGCAAGTACTGTTTCTGATAAGTGGAACAAAATGGGGTTTTATGGGGTTTCCACCCAAACACCCAAAAACCTGCTCTGCC